TGAAGGAGGCAGACTGCATGAAAGTCTGAAGTTTTATTCATTGAGCTGGAGAAGGTGAGAGAAGGGCTCAGGACTCCTGTGACGGGAGCTGTTCTGAAAGGCGTAATTTTCAGATTTTTATCCTGCTGATAAAGAGTGCTGTATTATTTGCACAACCTGGGACAGCACCAAGAGTACTGGCAATGCAAGGCTGTCCTTATGTGAGTTATGAATTCGACTGTCTTCAGGCCAACAAAGAAACTGAGCTAAGTCTCCTGTATCCTGGGTTTTCTCCTAACCTCTTCCTACAATTGCATAAAGCTAACCTGCATTTAGCTAATCTTCTGTTTGAAAGAACTGAGCAAATTGACTGAAGATGTTTGGTATAACTGAATCACATTTTTTTCAGCACTCCTAATAGTAACAGAATTTCACTTGCCCATAAAGCATGCTACCATCTGCAGAAACAAGAGGTATGGTGGTTTTTTTTCTGCTAAAAATGACAGCTTGTTATTGCATGTACATGATCAAGTCACAGCTAGAATCTTATCTCTATCAAAATCATATTTGTGTTTCTGTCAGTGCTGAATGATTTTCATAGTGGTAGAAGACCAAAGACTAATCTGTTCTGTCTCATGCAACATCAGCAGAACTACCAACAACATTCTGATTCTGAGTTTCTTTATTGTTGGTGATGAATGATGTACTGGATGAAACAAGAGTACATCTGGATTATTAGAGATCATGCTGAGTGCATAATGCTGACACTTAGGAAAACTTTAACGTGTAAGCTAGACACTTTTCATATGGAAGTCAATGACAGACAATAAATAGAGCACCAGGATGTGAATATCTCATGTTCTTCACTGCACTTCGTATGGTAATATAAGACAATACCAATACTTGAAGGCACAAACTTATCTGCAGCTTTCATTCTGGATGATCCCTACATGTTCTGCACATACTATAAATGAGACCAAATCCTGCTATTGAGATATGGGGTTACAGTACAATTCTCTAAATAAAAATACACTATGGGATACATTTTATGAGAAGGAATTTTTAAAATACCAGGTAGAAAATACAAGGTAGCTTTGAGATTTTTTTTTTGTGGATGCTGTACTCCATTCATTATGCAGTGATCTCTCACACAGAGGAGAACTGCATTCATATTTATGAGAAAGAAGCCCTTCCCTACCACTATAAATATCACTTTAATGCAGTTATGCTATATACACGATGAAAATGTCTCTTTTAAAATTCTGTGTTAAGTATAAGAGGAAAAAACAGGACAAAATCTATGGGTGTGAATCCAGCACTCCAACATACTATTCTTACAACATTGATTGTTCTGTAAGTGGCAAAGCAATAGGAATTTTGGAAAATGCATCCTCTCATGTCTTTAAATAATCTCTGCTTTCACTGGGGAGAAACCTCAGAGTTCAATTTGCTGGAGTCAGTCTGAGCAGTAGCTTCCCTTCATATAGCAGAGTAAATGCAGAAGTGATTGCGGGTGGGAACTGAGGGGAAAAACGAGGAATCCGAGAATTGTTTTCTAGTTCATTACCATTGGCATTCTAATTCCGGTAACAATTAGACAAGTGCCAGCTTTGAAGTTTTTCAGTGTTTGGGGGATTTGGGAATCAGGATTTCAGTTTGGTCTCATATGGAATAGCAAATAAGTGTATAAATAACTTCTGCTGTCAGCAGATAACTGACGCTACTGGCGATGGCTGTTTCTAAAGGGGTCATCATGCAGTTAACTCGAAAGACTGATCGGCATTTCACAGTAGCGCTCTAAATAATTTGTCTTACTACCATAGCAGGTACAAATTGTAATGCTTGTGATTCATCTGCAAAACACACGGCTTGCCAGCTGTTTTACTCAAAGTGCTTTGGCGGCGTGATATGGCAGAAAGAAAGGTCAACAGCAAAATTAAAAAAAACAAGGATTACGCTGCAGTTGTCCACAGAGGATAATTTGCTCCAGAGACTCCATGGCTTTTTGCTTATCTTAGCATGTTCTCTGTCAGAAGGGCTAACAGACATTGTGAAAGTTTCCCTGGTGATGACAGATCGGGGTAAACCATTATTTGCTATGTTAAGCCTGAGGTGATGGGACAGCTATGGAGGGCTCTGTGGCCAAGGAGAGAGTGGCATTATTGCCTACAGACAGAACAGCTCTAGCCGTCCTTAGTGCGACCTACTGTTTTTCCAGAGTGGTTGACCCTGATTTACAGTGATTTCAACCTCAAAATATTATTTCATTTTTCTTGTCTTCTTTAATTCCATAGACACTGCCCAGATCCAGTAAATTTATTGATTCCAGTTAAGAATGAACTGATACATAGTTCCTTGAACTTTGTAAGAGCCTTGTTATTTTGCTAAACTGTAATAATGCTAGGCCTGAAGTTTGATGTGTACCAGTAACAGCTACCAAAACCTTTGTTAAGTTCCTAACAAATCCCTGTTGAGAGATTTGGAAAAATAGGTTTAATGCTAAAAATTAAACACTGAATTTTAGTTCAACCAAAGTGAAACCAGAAACCTTTCTGAAATAGTCTGATTATTTTACTCCTTAATTTGTGTTAAAAATATACTTTGTGAATGTGCATGTGTGCAATGAGTTGAGCAATTTGTAAAGCAAAACAATGAAATCCAATGTATAGAAGCTTCCACAAAAAGAAAAGTTTTACATTCCTACTAGTCTCTAATGGAGATGATCAGAAATTAGAAATGCTGCTCAGTCACAAAGTAAACCCTCTACAGCTGCATCCCCTCATACTTCCTATTTAAAGGTCCAGTTTGCTATTCCAAACCAGTACTTACCACAAAAACTCACTCTACAAAGTAGCGTTGCAGCTCAACCACACAAACACCTTTTGTTCCACAAATCATAACAGATGTCCTCTTCATAAGCGAAATTTATTTTAATAACACTCAATTTTCTTACCTGCTGACTACTTTGTTGATTAACATCCTCTCGGAACCGCAGCTTTCTTTCCAGGTCCTTCACAAGTGCAGCTTTATTTTCCCGAATAGAATCTTCTGTTGGTAATGGCAGAGGCTTCAGATTTTTCTTTGTTAATCCCTGGGCTGGTCTATTAAAAGAAAGTTCTGATACTAACATGCAGAAACTGGTATATATTTTTTGTCACCTGTGTGATATGATGTTACACTTCAGTTGTCTAAAGGAACCTATTATTTATTTACGCAGAAGCCAAAGCACAATTAGATTTTTTGTTTGGTACTATTTTAATTAAAATACTGCTATTCCCATGGCAGTAGGAATTAAGGACACACATCTTAAAGAGAATATATATTACAATGCTATAACAAGCATCTAAGTTCTATTTATATTTACCCTGGAATACTGGTGTCACAATGAATGCTAAAGAAACGTTTATAAGTGTTACTGTAGGTATACAATTTGTATATTTTACTGTATCAGGCAATAATTTCAAAGATAATACAATTTCTCATTGATCTTTATCTTACATCTGCATTGCTCATTTAGTCCTTCCATGAATTTTTTTCTTTTCTCTCAACCTTGTATGATACCTAACATCAACAGTTATTTTTACTTTTATTGTATAGATGGTAGTGTATTTTATTTCAGTAAGGTTTGAAAAGAATTAAATTCTTAAATACGGCTGTTGGGAGACTGTAAGTGTGCACTGCTGAGGCACAGCAGCAGCACACTACTAGATGGTGTGCAACCTCCTAGTAGTTTACTAGGAGTTTGGATCTTAATAACAGAGGGTCTAGGTAAAAGGCATAACTGAGGATTGCTGTGCAAGAGATCTTCCTTTTGTTGTTCTGCCGTCTTGGTGACCTCTCACTGTTTTTGTAAGCAGAATTATTATAATAGCTAATGCCTAAAAAGGAAGCTGAAATTTCAATAGATATTCACAGACTAGCACAGATATTGTTCAGGTTTCTTCCTGATCCTTTGTGCCCTCACTTTGGCTCTCTCCCATGTAGAGATCTAGATTTGAATCTTGGCACGATGAGCTCTAGTTATGTGGGAGTTCAGCTCTGGGCTGGGACCCAGGAAGGGTGAAATAAAGAAAACAGTATTTAACTACTCTGCTGGGTAGGCACGTTGTAAGGTTTTATTTGGTAATGCCTGTAGAGCATTTAGAAAAAGTAAAGCCCCTTGCCAGCGTTACGTGTCGTTAATGCAGAAAGAATAGTGCTCACTTGGGCGAGGGCTCTGAAGGGAGGGAGGTGAGGGGATAAGTAGCTGCAGGGGACTCTTGCTTGTTGTTGCCATGCTGTGGGCAACTCCAAAGCCTGTGAGTAGGAGTGCAATAAGGGTTTGAGGGCAGGATTTCTTGGCAAACAGAGTGGTTAATGTTATGTATATAGGGGCACTTTTTCCAGTTCTAATTACAGATGTAGTATCACCAGAATAGTTAGAAGGTTGTGACTTACTGCTGGCTATCACTATCTTGAAGTGTACCATTGCCAAAAGGGGGAAATACTCCTTTGTGCAGAATTTGGAGTTCTATGGATAAAAAGTTGTATCAATCTACTGGTAGTAGCCATGCTAGCAGAGGATTCACATAGTCCACAAAAGGGATATTCATTTGAGCTCTAGTAATAAGGAAGGAACTTTCAAGGCCACAACCTTTCCAGTACATCATCCTTCTTATTTGCTTGTGTGGTGGTGGCCATTTCGGCACAGAAGGCATGCTGGCTGTCAGTTAAAACATTTATGTGCAAAACATTAACTCCCCTGAAATTTTCTGAGGGACTTTAAATATAGAAAGTATTGCAACCAGAAAAATACCTTTACATGAGTTATTTCTTGAAATTACCTGGGCTAAGAAATAACTTAGATTATGAGGTACTTTTAAATTTTACTCCTTGCTTACAATAGGTAAGAGTATTTTTATAGCTCATTTAGGCAAATGGTCTTACAGTGGCTTATCCTGCAATCTCATGAATCTCTTTTCTCCCACTAGTACAGTGTTACGAATCTCTGGGCCCCCAAATGCTTATGTATATCTGTTTTTAAACTCAGATTTCTCTATCTTGGATTGATCTTGCTCTTAATGTATCTTCTTACTGAAGCTGCCTGCTATCCCTTCTTTTCCTAAACATAAAGTTTAGAGAAAATGGACTCCAGTTAGAGACTGGAATATATTAATAACTTGCTTTTCTGTTTTATGAGTGGCTTGCATTTCAGTAAACTCCCCACTGAACCCTTGAACAGAAACACATCTTAGTTTCCTTCATGAGTATTTCTTCTCCCCGCTTCAGCTCATATGGTTTAGGCTACTTACGTGGCTGGTGTACTTCTGGGCAGTCCCATAGCATTAGTTGATGGCACAGTAGGAAGTGAAGGCAGAACAGCACTAAGGAAAGCTACTGGATTCTGAATCCGGCCAGTTGGGGAGATAGGAGCAGAAGTCACAGTCTGTGGCTGAAACTGTTTTGCACTTGATGTAGGAAATGTTAATGGAGGCACCATGGATTCTTTAGGGCTTGGTGGAGACTGTTCACATTTGCTTGTAAACCCTCCAGAAGACCTTGATTGGGCAGGTGGAGGATTTCCTGTGAAATTTTCCTTGTTATTTGTTCTTTGAGTTCCTTGAGGGACATTGCTGCACGTTGTAACTGAGGAGCTGGAAGAGGAGCTGGTAGGTGATGCAGTTTGTGATGGTAGGAACTGCTTGGGTCGGGTGTAGCTGAATGCTTGTGAAGCAGAGGCTTTGTTTTGTTTGTACGTAGCTGAGGTGGACTGTTGCTGGAGAACAGTAGCAGAATTCAATAGAGCTGTGTTGAATAACACCTCTTTTGTAGATGTCTGATACACCTGCTGTTGCTCAAGCAAGACCTGGTTGTGGAGCTGTTTTAACTGGGTCTGATCTCTGCAAAAGATGAGCAAAATTGGTCATGGGCCCTGAATGTGCTGGCTGGCTACATTTCCATATGTGAATTGCAAGAGAGAAATTCTATGTCTTGTGATACAGTAAAGAGGTAGGGGAAACTGCTGCATGGTGTATTCTCTCAACATTATGAGAAGAGCATAATATTAACTTGCTACTGAAATTAGCTTTTCCTTCCTCTCACTTTGCCAGAGGCACAAAAGCTTTTTGTCTGAAAATTATTTGACTGAAGATGATTCTTACATTTTAACACATGTAATATAAATCTGACTTGAAGATATTTAAGGGAAAGCATTGTCAAATGCTGTTCTGTGTCCCTTTTGTAGCTCTTTGCTTGTCAGCTAAGAGCAGGATTTGGTTTGTCAGATTTTAAATGAGCGCTTGTAAGCCAGATTGCTGTTATTTAGCTCCTATTACAGTGGGTTCTGAAATCAGCATTTTAGCTAATAAAGCTTTGTAATAATCCACCAAAAGAGAGATTACCAATATAGTTTAGGCGGTGTTTGTGGTCATTCAGTGGCAGGCAGGAGTGCATAATTCAGGGAGGACTTGCATTTCATGCAGTTCTTTGTTCTGGGATGCTATCTACTGTATTAGGTCTTCAGGGCTTTTTTACTTTGCAATTAAGGAAAACTATTTTGCCTTATGAAGTGGTTTGTTTAGTTATTTCACACGTGGAAATATAGCATAAAGGCTTTTCCCCTTCCAAAACCATAAAGGACATAGAGGATATGGAAAATAATAATGTATTAAATTGCTGAGTATTAAATAACTACTGCTAAAAAGTGAAAAATGTATAAGCAGAGAGCGACCACAACTGGTACTGACAAACCAAATACATGAAGTCAATGGAATGTTTTTTATTTAAAAGATTTATTGTTTCTATAATGTAATAAACAGAAATCACATCAAAGGTAGGTAAAGATAGCAGTTTCAAGCTTCTGAAAATTAGGATTTCAGAGAGTTACAAGTTGTGTAACCCTGATTTTGTGTCATTCATATATACACCTGTGTAATAATACACACCTTTGTTTTTCAGGAGGGAGTTGAGAGAAATTCTGCTTTGTGCAAGCATTGGGCAACTTAAATATTGCTTCTGCTGCCCCCTTAAACACACTGTAGCTCTGAAAGTAAATAAGGCTTAACAAATTAAACCACTGCTCCAAGTTCTTCCTCTGCTATGTGGTATCTAAGTTTTATCTTCTCACTTGTAATGTTTATGCTATGAAATTACATCCATCATTAAGACTACCGATGAATTACTTCATGAAGTCCTTCCTGAGCCTGTAGTTCAAGACTATGTCTATTTAAGAAATAAAATGAAGAACTCTGCATGCTTTTTGTTACACTAGATTTGGGAGGTTTCAAAGATGCTGAAAAGATACTTCTTAATAAGCTGCAGTGTGAATTCCATGAATTGTCCTCTAAGAAAACTATGCTACTATTGAAAATTTCCTCTTGAGCTCGCAGTACACTAATCATGCAGGTGCTTTTTAGTTCATATGGTTTCACATTATCAAACATTTCCAAGTATTTTATCTGTTTTAGGAGATTGTGATACATAGAAGTCATGAGGCATAGCCTTTGTGACCACCATTGCTAGCTAGTAGCCAGCCCACACTATGTATATAAGGCTGAATATGTCTGGTTTTGGCAACACAGCATACTCAGAATTGAGTGAGATTATATTTGAAGAATTCCTTATATTTGAAGAATATAAGGAAAAGCTTCTTTCCTTTGAGGGTGCCAGAACCCTGGAGCAGGCTGCCCAGAGGAGTTGTGGAGTCTTCTTCTTTGGAGACTTTCAAAACCTGCATGAACATGATTCTGGGCAACCTGCTCTGGGTCACCCTGCTTTAGCAGGGAGTTGGAGTAGACGCTATCCAGAGGTCCCTTCCAACCCCCACCATGCTGGGATTCTGGGAGTCTGTGAACCTGCTTTTATTTTGCATGCATAAAAGCAGTGTTCACCTTCTGTTTGCAGCAGAAATCATTGTGGAATTAAATAAAATTTCAAAGGGAAAACATTTTCCTTTTAAAACTGGAAAATTTCCCAAGAGGGATATACAGAAAAAAACATGTGATTCTGTAGAATCCGTTTTCTAAGAACATGGTTAACTAGACCAGCACCACATGATGCTGTCTTTTTGTTCTATGTTTAATTTTTTTGCTCTAGTACAATAATGTCCTGATCTATAAGTACTGAATAATATCACTGATGCTCTTGAGACTTAGAATCCCTGTTACTTACAGCTTTGGTTTAGCCAGTACGGGAGGGGGTTCCTTGGATGGCGATGTCGGCTCTGGTATTCTCATTGGCTGTCCATTTATCCTCTCTTGGAAAGAGTTGGGTCTGTTTTGGTTTGCAGTGCCAGGCCCACCCTCTGATGGTGATTCACTTCCTTGATCATCTTCAGGCAACTTGAAGTGCACACGGAGACCTATCTTGGAACTTGATCTAGGTTCATTGTGGTTCACAAGAACTCCTTCAAGTTTAGGTTTGGAAGTCTGGTTTACTGCATGATGGGAAGGAGTACGTTGGGGAAGTTGATGTTCAGCAGCAATTAAGTTGATTGAGCTCATTGTGTGAAGGGTAGCAGCATTACTGTTTTCTTCAGATGCTGAAATAGCAAATACCAGCCTTTTGGTGATGTGTAAACACCACAAATTATAGAGAAATGAAAAAAGTTACAGTTGGAAAAACTCACTGTTTTTCCAACTCCTTCCATCTGTTGGACTGAGTTGTTTGACTGCTTTTGTTTAACAACAAAGTCCCTTAAGAAAGGAATATTGTAAAGGCAGGGGGAAAAGAGACACAAGTCTAGTTTGGAAGATCCATCAGTGGTCTTCAGCCATGTCCCCCGTGAATTCCACTAGCATCTTTGAAGCACAAACTTCCTTTTTAGAGAATGCTTCAACTTTTTAGTTAGGAAGAACACTGCCAGAACTTGAGCTGAATTGGAGTCAGCAGTGCACTATGCTTTTATGTACTGTTCTTTGCTCATCTCACTGCTTAGTGCATTGGCAGCAGAAATCATGTAGGCAGTATAAAAGAATCTGTTTTGACGTTTCCTCCTTTGGGCTCTACACCAAAGGGTTATTGAAACAGCAAACTAGACAGTCCATAGAGATTCAAAAAATGGCTGTTTGCCTGCATCTTGAGGTCAGCAGGAGTTGTGGTTTTGGAAGGGTTGTGTGGGATTGATTCACTAATTTTACTTATTCCTTCATCTTTCTAATAGGGGAAGGATGCTTGGAAAAGACCTAGCAATCCATATGTTTGAGAAGCAGCCTGGACTGCAGAGCACAGTAGCCTGCTCTGTATTTACTAGCAAGCAAAGCACAGTACCAAACTCTTACCTTTGACAGTTAGACGAGCTGTACTAGATACTGTGCCATACTTGTTGCTTGCAGTGCAGGTGAAACTGCCTGAGTCTTCTGAAAACACTTCAGCAATAACCAGAGTACAAATTTCCTCTGCAAAGCATCAGAACAGTATTACTACTTGAAGTGAATGTGCATTGAAGAAACACACAAAGCCTTGACTACTCTCATAGACATTTCCTTAAGGATTTCCACCTCGCTCAGTTTGATTTTAGTTTCATCAGTATTATCAGTTTTGGCAGCCTTTGTGTGCAGCAGCTGTTATCAGCATTGTCTGCAGCAACTGGTACCCTCTGTGCTCCAGCATGCCCAACGAAACTGAAGAACAGGTGTCAGCAGTGTTTGGAAAACATTAGAAAATGTGTTCCTAATCATGTGAAGTACAGACTTCCTCTCTGAAAAGCTTAAAATTTAATTTGGAGAAATATAGCGTAGCCTACACTCACAACTCAGATCTATGTATTTTTATGTTTTTGGTGGTTGAAAGATTATTTATAACTCAGTGGGAACAATTCAAGTGGAGTCCATCTGTAAGGTGAAGAAATCTCAAACACATACATATAGGCTGGGATTTTCTGAAAGTACCAGTGCAGATTTGGAGATAGAGGGGATTGTGCTAATTGTGCTTATAGAAAATTGCCTTTCCACTTCTTTGTGGAGAAGACAAACGGGCACTAAAACTGTGCTAGCAAAATTATACTAGCAAGAATTAAATTGTATCTTGAAAAGTCAGTCTGGGGTTATGACTTTCCTGCCTGACCAGTATCTGACTTGTCCAGGCAGCTAATAAATACCTATGGTGATGGGATTTTGAATCTTTTGTGTGGCTAGGTAGCTGGGATGAGGAGGGAGAGTAGCATCTGAAGTGTATTGAAACATGGCTGATAGCATTTTTTGAACTAGTCAGTGGCTATTTTGCAATCATTTTGCAAGAAATTTTCCTAAAGCTCTACAGGATTAATATTTTATGAGCGTTTCTGGAGAAGACCACACCACACTTAAACATGATTGTTTCATGTTATCATGGGAAAATCTAGTAGCAACAAAGAGATTATTTTCTAACAACTACAGGGGAATAATAATTTATTATACTACTAGGATTATAGAACTAGTTTAAGGCATTACAGTATCTGGTTTATAGTACTTGGATTTGCCAACCACTGCGTGCATGGAAATCCAGATTCCTTCTGAATGAGCAGCAGGTGATGAGGCAGTGACAACTGCACCCAGCTGATTGACCCTCTAAAAACTGCTTCACGTTACTCAGCAGTGATGCCACTGGACAGTAAAGGAACAGCATCGGTGGGTTCTGGTAGGAGCTCCATTTATTCATTCCTCAGTCTCAGCAAGAGACATTGCAAAGAGACGGATTCTCTTTCAAGACACTTTTGGGAGTAAAAAGCTTCTAACAGGGAAAGGAGAAGAGTTACAGAAGTTTATATTTCATAAGAATTAATACTCCTTTGGCATTTTTGGGTCTTAAGAAGGGCAGCTTTCTATTTTTAATAGTGAAAAGCATAACAGGGAGAGTGAGCATCTCATGGGGAAGTAATAAAAATCTATAAGGCTTTTTTGTTCATGTTATGCAGAGTAGCCTACATTCCACTCTGACCCTTGAAATTAGCAAATCCAGCCACTTTTATAGGTTTTGCTGATATCAGGGGTGGGACACCTGATGTGTTACTCTCATATTACGCTGGTAGGGAGCAAAGGGAATGGCTGACATGGCTAAACATCTGATGCAATGTTCCCTAACTGGTCAGCTAGATAAAAATAGCTCAGCCCTACATCATCTGGTATCCTCCTGAACCTCAGATATACAGAGGATCCTCATACATTAATTTTGCTAATCTTTAGCTCATAAGGTGCTAACATTTAGGTCCTAAGCTAGAACTGGGTCAAAGCAGAACAGAAACATATTCTTCAAAAGCGATAGAATTAATACAAATTACATGTTTATGGAACAGTCTACAGTGAAATGCATCTCACTAGTAGCTACAGAATGTGGCAAAAATAAGAAAGTATGTTAATTAAATTATGGAGTTTAAATAATTAATATTCTGTGAAGTTAAATCACCACATTTGTATAATCAAAAAGATATGAGCCTTTTGATGATTCTCACCTGGTTCAGCCATTGATCGTGGTTCTGAAGGGAAGAAGAGCAGAATTAGTAGATTGAATATACTGACTTTTGCCAATATTTTTTTTCCCTTAAACACTAAATATGAAGATTGATCTTGTCAATATGATGGAATGCTCCTTTTGATCCAGTTTTCTGTTTAAGGTGTGGTGGAGATAGCCAGGCCTTGTACTCAATGGTATGTCAAATCCACTGAATAGCATGAACACGTATGAACGATTTTGAGAAGGTATAAATAGGAAATACATTTGAAAGAAGTATTTTTTGGAAACATAATACTACTTTATTGTGTTTTGAACACAATTTCTGAAATCATTTCACAGATGAAATCAAGTTATGATAAGACACGGTTTCATTTAGGTTTAGTTTAGTGTGGTATTTGCATTGAGTTTTAGCAGTTTTAGCATTCCGATGACTTACGATGTTTTGACTGCATTTGAATATTGAACTATATGTTTATAACCTGTCATGTATCATGTGCACACACATGCATGTGGAAGCATGCTATTGTGCACATCAGGTTACTTTTGTGGATGAATAAGCAATCCACTGCTCATAAGCACTATTATAATAGCACGTGACTAAAAGGTGAGGGATTTCTGGACAGTGGAACTCAACATAAATGATGCAAACCCAAAGTCAAACAGCAGAAATAGGACTAAATTAGAAAAGGACATTGAAATGGCAAAGGGATCAAAGCAGAAGGCAGAACAATTCAGTAGTCTCAGGAATCTCAGGCAAATTCTACTTGTGAATATGTTGTTCAATTCATCCACAGTTTTGGCTTCTGGAACCCAGATTTATTGCCATAAATATGGCTTATGTAGTTCTTACCATTGTAATAGGAAATTCAAGGTGTTACTATGTGAGCAATTTTGTTGCTTGCCTGTATTTTCTTAGACACAACATTTCCACGCAAGAAACATACTTTTCTGTAATATCCTAAAATCTGGCGAATCTTCTATCAGTGTTCCTTCTCTATACCATTCAACCTTGGGGGAAGGAGCTCCTTTTACCCGACATTCAAAGACAACAAGCTGCCCCTCAGAAGCTGAAATATCCTGTAACATCTAATAGAGAAAATGAATAGACAGTCAGTAAATGTCTCCTTGGTCTGGAAGTAATACTGATTTCAGTAAGATTTCATAAAGCCACTTAAAATCCTTGAATGGCTTAAGAGATGCATGATTTCTTTTTTTATCTTTCAAAGCTAGAAATTTTTTGGTATCTCTCCATACAATTAATTGACCTCTTTAGTTTTCAAAGATGTCGTAGAACAAATTACCTTTGTAAATACAGGAGCAGCAATTATAGGTCTTCCATCCAGTCCTTGCAAATAGTTAGTGGGGCTTTGAGCCTGTAGATTGCAAAATATCATATGAAGATGTTTAGGTGCACAAAGGTTATTTTTCTATATACAGGAGAAACGTGATTTTGAAAGGACACAAAAGAGATCTTTGTGGGCAAAGTCCAAAGCAAAATACTTAATGCAACAAATAAAAGTTGCTCTGTTGTAGACACCTGCTAATGATCGTCCTGGATGGGTTACTGTCTGAGCAATGAAGATGCTGTTACTGCCTTATTGAGTTAATCATGGGCAGGAAAACTTCCCTGCAGTGTATTGTAACATCTTTCATTAATTCTTCACTGAGTGGAATCTATGTAGGCTCCTGGGTGGTAGTTTCCTTTTAAAAATTCTTAATTACAAAATATATATGTGGAAAAGTAAAGTCCAGTCATGTTCATGATTGCTACTGTAATTCTCCTTTACCAAGCCAAATTTACAGAGGTGGAATTGATCCTACTCAGTGAAACTGGAATGAAATTTTTCTTCTCCTGGGAAAGCTTCTTATATAATTTAATTAACAGAGTTTTTAATTTTAGTGAAATAGAAACTGCCTCCAAACAGCAGAATTAGTAAGTCAGTATCTCCATTAACACAGCCAAATTTTATAGATTATGTCTTATAAGCTAACAAGATAAAAAGTGGTAATTTTTGAGATAACTAACACTCTCGATTTGGGCAACTTCTGTCAAAATGGCAAAATGCCACAAAGGCTTAGTTTTGTTTTCTTTGTGATTGAAAGTAAATGTGCATTACTTCAGCTATTCAGTATTTCTTTATTGGTTACCATCTAATTCTAGGCTGTCAACATTGAAAAGGCAGCATAAAGCGAGTTTCTCATTAACTTTTCAGTTTTAAGTAAATATGGGTTGTCTTTCTTATTAGGAAAGAATTCACAGTTAAAAATATTCTGATAGTTTGCAACAAAGAGGACTCAAAATGCATGCTCAAAATAATTAGAAACTCTTTGATTTGGATATTAAAATGTCATAAGTAAGCATCTCTACATACAAAAAAACCCATAGTGATATAGCTTAAAATAAGTTTCATTGAAAGAAAATATTTTAAAGTGAGTTCTGTAGAAAGGGAGAGGAAAAAGCTACAGGCTGCCACTATTGGAGGTGAATGAATCAGTCAGCAATGTGAAGAGAGCAGTGAGTTGAGCTCCACACCCAAGTGCCCTTCATGGCACGCGGTCTCTGACCTGCTGGAGCGCACACGGATTCCTGCCACTGGCTGAGCTAGCAGCAGCTGCTCCTTCTGCTCACCACCACAGAGAACCTCTAACCTGGGCATGAAAGGCCCCCTTCCCTTTGCCAGGTGCTAAAGGTCATCGAGGAGGCAGGAGAACTCTTCTGTGTACACAACTACTGTACAGCTGTAAGGTTCAAAGCTCAAATTCAACAGCAAAGCAAAAACTAGAAAATTTGGGGGTTCTGAGTCACAAGGTGTAGAAGAAACACCTTTTTAAGAACTTGATTTTGGTCCTTGAAATTCACCATATTGTCTCTCCTACCTGATTAACTGGTGTTGACACAGACTGGACAGGTACAGACACTGGCTGAACCATGGCAGATGGTGCCTTGGAGGTTTCTTGATGCTTGGTTGCAGTTCTGACGGCAGGAGATGCTGCATTCAAGGAGGTATCAGCTGGCTTTGGTTTGCTGTGGAATATTAACCAAAAAACAAGTTCTCTAATTGGAGGCTAGAGCTATGTGTGTGCCCCTTAGTTAGGTCTGTTCCAGCTACATGTCAACCCCAGCCTCATGTCTGGGATTGAATCCCAATTGATCTAAACTGATACATACTCCTAAGTAAACTGCTTTTTCTAAGCATCAGGCTTCATCTCTTGCCACTCTAATCTCTCGTACTTGGTTCTGTTACACCAAATGTAAGGAATGGCCTGGATTAACCCAATTGTAGCTTGAAAGCTGCTGTTACCAGCTCTGAGGTGCATGAGAGAGAAATGCTAGTTTCTCAGAGGACAGTGCTAGTTTCTCTTTCACTTCTCCCTGAGCTTGTGTGAAGAACTGGGCATAGAAGATAGTGAAAATGCATGGTCTGCTTGAATACAGATTCAATAATTTACTGCTGAAAAATTAAAAGAGAGATATGCTTTCTGACCAACATATGTTGTGTCAGGACGTGTACAGGTTGGCACCTCTTCACTTCTTCTAGGTTGTGTCTATATGGAAGTAAAAGAATTTACCCTATTTATTTTTGTTGCTAAGTAAAATAATGCAGACAATGAGGAGATGGTCTTTTTATTCAGTTTGAGGTATGCATTGGCTGCTCTGGAATGTACTACAGGTGCCCCCAGGAAAGCCTGCCTTCAAACCAGAGGAAACCTTACTCAGAATGAATGTACATTTGTTGAGATCACTGATTTCTCTTTTGCAATGGTGAACTTGTTTTGTACTTGTTCTTATATTAATTCCCTTCAATTACAGGTGTTCAGATGCGCTAGAACTGGAAGCTAAGAAAAAATGAAGACACTCTGATTATACCCAAACCTGATCTTTCATAATTCTGTCATTTGAGGACATCCCGCCACAATGTCCAAGCAGCATTCTTTTGTTTTTCCAAGAAACACAGAATACAACACATTACTTCAAAATTTAACGAGGTAAGGAACTTAGAGATGCCATCAAGTGATCAGAATCACGTTCACACTACATTAACACCTAATAAGATGAATAAAAAAAAAACCATTATGCCTAAGATGCTTGCAAAAGTCTGAGCTAGAACTATGAAAAACTTAGTAACTTCTCCCAAAACCTCTGAGATCTTCTTGATCTGAAGTTTTCTGTAAAACCCTTACATTTATCAGAGTCCATAAACCAATCCAATCTGGGGTATTCTATCACTTTGAAGTAAAATCACCTAAGACAGGATTTGCTGTCAGCCTGGGGTCTTCGGTCAAACACACTACAGTGTTCTCTGTTTGCATTGTAAAAGAAAATTATATTCCTAATGCAGATAACTCTCTTTAACAACTAGTAAAAAAAACTCTAAGATGCATAAATCTTAAAAATTTAAATTTTCTCTTTATAAAGCACTGCTTGCTTTTGGGGTTAAATTAATGCATACAAAGGAATTAAAAATAAAAGATTCATTGTTTTATTTTTCAGCCAGTCTGACTTCATTTCCATTTAATAGAAAGACCTTGATTCAGGAAAAATATAGATATTAACAGCATTGGATCAGGTTCTAAATGCACAGGAAATGGATTTCATTTAGGAAAAATTTTTTTTTTCTCCAGGTTTTAGATTACATCTGACACCTCTTTCTTTTTATAGTTAAGTAGTCTTTTATACCTATCATTTCAGTTTACACTGGTTCATTAACTAGATGATCTTTAAGGTCCCTTCCAACCCAAGCCACTCTATGATATGATTCTATGATATGTTTTAATTTCCTTATCTTAAATCTAAATAATCCATGTATAGCCATCTTCTGCTGAAAACTTCATGACGTACCATACTTTCCTATGAGAAATTTTACTACACTGTTTCTCCAAGTCAGACACTTAAATCAGCATTTAAGTTGGATCTAGTTAAATGGCATCTGGTTTAGTGAATTAATTTTAGTAGTTTGATCTTTAAGGTAACATATTTCTTCTTATGTTTGTATTTAATATTAATGTTTCAATTCTTAAGCTGAAGTTGAAGAATTCAACTTAAGATCTTGAAGAACATGAACACTACACAAGCAAATGTGTATTTCTTCCATGCTATTTGTAAAGTAAACAAACACTCAAACAAAACCCAACTAAGCCTAATGTGTTGGAAGTTGCAAAATATTAATGGGAATGGAAATGTCTGAACTTGTGGGTATTTTAACTGTAGGAAATATGAAACATGTAATTGATTTTAAACTTACTGATCCATTTCGTCTTTGATGATTTCACCTTCAGAGTCAGAAGAAGAGACTCCTATGAAAAAGAAAAAAAAAAAACAAAACCAAAAACATAGCAAAGGCATTTTTGAAGACGTTTATCTATGAATGATAGACACCTTTATTCAGATTTCCTTTAGAGCATTCTAAGAGAATATACTATAAAGCTATGCCAAAACAAGGGATCACATTGCAGAAGAGATCACAAGGCAGAAATGGGATGAGGTGCAATTGAAATGAGGAAAAGAGCATCCAAGAGTGAATGTACACCTGGTTCTTCCTTGGGTCCTCTTTAAAATGCCACTAGTATGATTTAGTCTGCAATTGCTGTTATGAATCAATTAAGAACTTTTTTTTTCTCAGACACCTGATACTATCTGTTTAAAAAAAAAATACAAAACCCAACAAACAACAGGGAAACACAGAACACCTGAAATCATAACTATTACTCTTAAACTAGTGTCTTGTTGCACAGTCTGGAGAAGGCACTAGCTCTGTTTACTAAGAGCTGTCTTACTGAGACATTTTACAGTTCTGATTCAGCCTTCACTGCATTTGGAATTTGCATTTTCTCTGCAGTTCCTGCCAGGGAGCATCTCCATCAGCCATGGCTTCTGTCCAACATCCACGAGTTAGGTAAAAGCAGGCCTTGGCCCCAGTCTCAAGAGCTAGTAAACCCCTGCCAGGCACAGACATCTCCCAGTAATGTCAGGGGCAGTGCAGATACTAAAAAAGGCTTCGTCCTTTCACTGTCAGATTAGAGATGTGAAAGAAGAATAACAGTAGAGCAAAATTAACCTTGTATTAAGCAGGGTAGTTACTTTTATTTATGAATGGTCCCACTGTTGTCAGTGATAGACCTCACAATGTGTTTCTCTAAATGAGAAATGGGAAAAAAAAGGGAAAAGAAAAGAAAACCAGTCAATGTGTTTATTTTCAATTTGTAATCTTGTTAACACAATGATGGATGCAATTTAAAACCTTATCCAAAAAAGTGTTAAAAAGAAATAAACAGACCTCTCTTAAGCCAAGTAGGATATATTAAAAAGCATAAGGAGAAAGAAAAGAGACCTAAATTGGCATACATATATATCCTGTTTTATTTACAGCATCTGTTGTGCAGGCAAAATATCAAATTGCTGGCATATTTTTTCTGCTTACTACCTCCCAATAATGGGTTAGAATGAAGTTATCCTATATTCAATTTGTAATGATGACTGTAGGGGAAATGGATTAATAAGAATTAGACAAAAGTTTAGGTTCTTATATTTCTGTAGAGTGCCACAGAAAAAAATACAAGGTTGCATCAGAATCTGAATATTTCTAGAGTCTGATCTGGCCATGAGATACAGAAAATCTCTGGGAAGCAACACAGTAAAATTATATGTAAAAGTGAGTCACTTTCTGAAGGGTAGACTACAGAGAAATAACAAAAATTAATAATGACAGAAAGTGTTGACTCTCTGCTACATATTTTTCTGTGACAAATCTCTTGCACAGTTAACATGCAAAATACATAATTATATCTTATTCCTGCATGACCAAATTCTGCAGCAATACTAATATTACCTTCTATGTATATCTCTGCAGAAGTGGAGTCTGTGCCATAAATGTTTGAAGCAAAGCACGAGTAACGTCCTGTATCCTCCTCAAAAGCTTCAACAATAACCAATGAGTGTCGATCACCTGTCTGGATAATTTGAATGTCTGGTGAGTTTTCAAGCTCCTTCCCTTCACAGTACCACCTGCAAAGCAAACAATATTGTGTATTAATGCAAACGACTTGACAACTAGAATGACAATGTTCAAAGTCTTTCTGATGATAAAACGGGTGGGGTTTAGCCTGAAGATTCTGAGAGCACTGCTGACAAGTGTTGAATCAATAGTCAGAGAAAAAAAATTTATGATTTTCATAAGATTCAATTACAGCAAATAATAGAGCTCGTTTCTTTGCCATATTTAAACGTGCTAACAAACTAGTTTATGTGACTCTAGCACATACTTACTCTTCTTGATATATACAGATTTCAGTATTAGAGTAGAAAAGCTCTGAATTTGGAAGGCTGTTGGTCCAGCTCTGAATTTCTCTTGAGACACATTCAGATCTCTATTGTGGTTTAAACTGTAGCAAAAAACCCCAACCCTAAGTCGACAAATTTACCTGAAACTTTTGATGCCAAAATTCACGTTGCTTCAGAATGTGACTGAAATTTACTATAATGTTACTCTTTGTTTTGTCATATATTTAAGACAATCTGCTTTTTATAAAGGATGGCATAAATGTATCACAAGGAGAGAGAAGCAATCTGTTACAGTATAGAGGCCCTTCCTTACAGGGACATGGCCGGTGAAACAGCTGGACCTTGAATTTTTTCTGCATCATATTGCTGTGTTTCACTTTCAAACCCAGCTAGACATCCAAGAATATAATGGGCCCTTCAGAGACTTCACTCTCATCTAAGGCGTTCCTCAGTCCCTCAGTATTCAAAAGGTTTGTTTCAGTAGAAAATGCAGGAATCCAAGCAAAAGTGAAAGCAGGACCTGAAAATACAGCTCCATAGGATGTGTTAATGACAGTAGCCATCAGCTCAACCTGAGAGTTAGTAGGAGGGGAGAGCAGACCTGATTGCTATTGCTTGATAATATGGAAGAGACAACAGAAAGAAAAGCAGGTTGATTTGCAGAAAAGATTCACATTTAGTAAGACAATCTAGGTTATATAGAGAAGGTGTAGTACTATGTATAGGGATTCAGAATTAAATCTTTGTGGTAATACTCAGAAATACTTGTATTTTTAGATAACCAGCTAAGTCTGAAAAGTCAAACTAAAGTGCATTCATCTTCACTGTAACTTTTCTCAGAAATATAGATAGGTATGAAACTCCACAAAAATACTTGTATTTTCTGTTTACTGCTGGTTTCTTAACTATGTATGGTTGATTAAATCATCCTGTGCATGTTTGGTGGAGGTTGTCATACTGATAATATTTTTTATTTACTTGATTTTAAAAAATAAGTGTTTCATCCATCTTTATAGAGTACTTTGGAAAAAGTACCTTCTAGCTTTTGTGTGCTTACAAATGCTATCAATGCAATGACAAACGTATTTGCTATTATATATTACAGCAAATAAGGTTAGTTGTGGAAAGTATAAGGATAAGGTTTTGGGTAATAAATTAGAATAAGTCATACTTCCTGGCTCATACTGTAAGGTACTTTTATACATTTCCATCTCAGATAATGTAGAAAAACAGTAACAAATTTGTTTAGACATTCAATTTTATTCACCTCTTGGAAGCACAACTTTTTTACAACTGTTAATGCTACAAACTGAGCATAATGAAACCCCAAATTTAATACGTTGGGGAGAAAAAAAAACAACCTATGAGACAGTCCACACAAATAGAAAATGATAATTAGTAAAAGTATTACGTGGAATTGAAAAAGGAACCTCAAAGGGACTGTGAGGTATGAAGGAGTACAGATCTGGAACTTAAATGCTGATGACATAGCTAAGAAGTAAACCATGCACTATTTGTGCTCCACCAGTCCTAGCTGTCCGACAGGGCTTTCTTAAAGTAGACAGGGTATTCCCCAGTCCACTTCCAGTTGCATGGTAGTGTAATCTGTAGCTGTACAGTCAACTGGCTTGAAAGTACAGCTTGGAAAGCGTACAGGTCTGCCTGTTATGGAGGGAAACTCCTGCACTGTAGATTGAATCATATTGCTTAACACAATTTCCCCTTTTAGAAAGTCAAACCTCTGCAGCTAGAGAGTGAGAACTTAAAAGTCTTCATTTGTGTCTACATCTGCTTATTAGCTTGAGCAGCTATGAAAAGCTGTTAAAGAGAATACCGATGTTCTAGAATTTGTTCTCATTTTCAGCAGCATCTTTTCAGAACATTAAAAAAAAGGCAAACCATTACACAAAATACTGTGCTATAATCACTAGTAAGATATAAGAACTCTTTCTATTAGTACTGATCAGCTTTTCCAGTTAAACTGTTGTGTTTGTGTAGAGATAAGTCTGCATTGCGTACCCTTGTGAGGCACAGTTCTAATTTTCTATAAGCAGATTTAAAAACACCATGTGCCTTATTTCTTCCACTTATTTTAGTGGTATGTGCAGTAGTATATATTCCATTAACGGACTCAAACAGACAGTGAAGCACAACTGATTTAATTCATTTATTTGCAGTTATTTTTTCCTTTGACTAGTCCAAAATCTGCAACATAAGTGATTTAAAACTTCAGGAATAAACTTCTCTTTGAAACCTGTGTTTACTTCTCCTATGTAGTGTATTCTTCAGCTGCTATTTTCACCATAATGTAGAATTATTTTGAGATTAAGCTGAGAAAAAGTGTGGTACATGTCTGTTATCTCTTCACAATCCTTATAAATGAAAAACAATTATCTAATGTGAACTTAAGCTTTATGTAAATGTTTGGTATGGCCAAAGGTTTGTTGCTTGCTTATGACAAAAATTCCTTGCTTATTAACATTTTATTTTATTCTTACCATAAAAATGTTTTACGTGGTAGCAATGAAATGTCAGTTCCAAGGGGAGTTCTGACATTGAGATATGTGGCATGACTGGAGTAGCAATACTCTCTGCCACTGACATTTCAGTCCTGCCATGAATTCATCATACAAGGCAGGTTCACATTAAGCACAAGCAGTGTCATCCACTGTGCCAAATTCATACTGGGTCTTAATCCATTGACTTGACTGGAGTTGCATGTAAAAGAAGTTTGGCTCTCTAGACTTTAAGCAATAAAAGAGATAAATGCTTTCATTAGGCAGCCAGGTGATCAGTCTTAATCAGTCTTAGGTGACTTCAGAGCCTTTAAAAATCTGTGATTAGTTGTAGATCTAGTCTCCTTAAACAAAGCAGCACTAAACTGTACTTCTTAAGCTTTGTATGCCTGTGTTAAAGAATGTGTTCATGGAAACCTTATGACATACAGCCCGTTTTTAGAACATCAAATCCTCATGACACTTCCAGGATAGCTGTGTATGCCAAATCATGCAATGTGATTCATAAGTAAAATTAACCTAGGAGTGATGTGCCAAACAGTTTGGAAAACTGTAGGCACCTCTGAACTTGGAATAAGGAATTCTCTCCTCATGGAGAAGAGTGAATGCCACACTTATCATTACTCATATAGAAACAGAGCTGTAGAAGGAAGCATGAGGAGGAGGTCATCAAAACCTTTAACACTTTGGAAATATGCTGCACACTTCTCTTAAACGCTTATATCTAACCTGCAGTATAGTTAGAGTAATCAATCATTAATTGTAGTGGTGCTCTTTAATTGCAAACTAACATTTGAGAGAGCTAGAGGCCCATGTACCATATCTCAGTCTTTGTCTCTTCTCTGATATTCAGCTGATGATACTGAAAAATGGGCAACACTTCCCTGTAACCTCTCCTGGGACAGGTAGGCTGAGCCAGCGGCCTCTGTCCCGCGGGCGTGTTACGTTAAGGCTGAGTTATCTTAAAAAGCAGATGGTCAGGTCCACCTGTATTCAGACAAGCAGGATTTAGCTTTCCATATACTGATATTTCAAACCAGTTTCTAGTTTCTTCTCTTGCTTGACAGTTTTCTGTCCCTCAGTGAACCCTTCTATACACCAGATAGTTACCTACCAAGCCTGTCAATTATACTGCTTTATCCTTACCAGTGATATTTTGACCCTAATCCATCATGAATGTCATTTACACCATTTCTTACATCTTCAAATTAGTTTTTCATTCTTACTTTCAAATATGGTCTCTGTCCATCATATTTTCCAGTTCATTCCTGTGATCACCTTCTTTCTAAATCTTCTGTCTCTTAATTTCTCTCTTATAATCACCATTACATCAGTTTAACCACCTGATTGTTCCTAGTGTTGACTGAGAAACTGCAATACAGAGCTTGTTGAATCTTGTTCTTGTTTCACAATGCTCTGGGTTCCCATGATACCACTTCTACATCATAAGTGTTTAAGTTATAAACATTATTAGTAACTTGGGATTCCTTTCTATGGTTAGGAAGTGCATTTCAGGTCAAAGGACACAGGTAAGCATGTATTAGCACACTTGTGTCCAAAAGAGGCCCAAAGGAGGCTTGTTTACTGAGCTTGGTCATTCAGCTAAGCTGGAGGAAGAAGACATCATGCCTTAAAGCCACTCAATGTCAAGCTTTCTTTTATCAGTTGCTACCTTGCCAGTTAGTCCTTCCCTGGGACTACTGATTTTTGTATCTCTCTTGCTTATCTGTTACAGTTCTTCTTTCCTTGCCCAGCTCCACAGATACTGAATGAAGTCACCAGAAACCTCTGAAAACTGTTACCCTCAAAGCAACAGGGTTGCAGTTCTGAGCTCAGTTCTGAACACAGTTCCATGACTATGGCCAACAAGATGCTCCCTCCACTAATTTGGAATATTGGAATCTGCCCAGCAGATCAAAGACAAGAACTATGTTTAGTGAAAAAAACCCTTCATTCTCATGGTCCCCATGGTTAATGGAACACATACCCTGATGTACATTATGTCTTCTGGTTTCCTTTTGCCATAGCAGTGAGTAAAAAGGCCATGGTCACCGGCAGCACATGAGCATTTATCACTCAGGCAAATGAATCTTTTTACAGTCTTTCTGAGTGTTACTCCTATAAATTGGTGGAGTTGAAAGAATCTTGGATGAGTAGGATGAAAGTTTTGTTAACAAATAGTTATGATCAGGAAACTCTGTTCAAGAAGCAAACATTCCCAGCTTTCTCCTTAAAACAGCACATACATACACACACAGAGAAACACATTGGGAGAGAGAGTTCAAAATTGCCCCCTTGTGATTTATCTTTTATTTGTTAGTTTAAATTGTGAAACTGGAATCTGAGCCTGATCTTTTTCTTGAGCTTGACTGCTTGGTATCAATTTTCCCTATGGGTCTTCTTTCTCCCTGTCCCTGCTTCCCTTGGCTTAAATTACAAATAGTCCTCATCCAATTCTGTGGAATCAAGCAGTCCCTGAATTGGGTACACAGGCATCCTAGCCATCCCTGGATACTCCATGGGATGAGTCATTGTTCCTGGGTTCTCTGATATGCCTTTGTGAGGCTTCAGTGACTTTATGGTGTCAGCTTCTAATTCAGATAGTTGTTAAACACCTAAACCTAGATGGCATGAACACTTTGTCAGTTTTATGTGCATGCCAGTGGCATGGGCATGATGTGTTGTTGTGGCCTTCTGGAGAAAAACATAAAATCAACATTGTGTGCCAGAGTACATGTCTCTAAACAAGCAATTCAGTGTTCACCTGTAATGAAAGCAGTCCAGACTGAGTTTGTGTATGAGTCTGTATACACAAGAGAAGATTATTTCAGTTGTTTTCTTTGTATTCCAAACTATGAATAATGAGAGAAAAACCCAAACAGTTCTCATGTCCATGGATCCTACTAACATTTTAAATATAAAAAAAGATTTATCAGGGCAAGTGTCTGAAGAAGTAAGTCTCAAAGTCTTCATAAGCAAGAAAAGTCTTCCCAAGCTGTTTCTAATATCTAGGGGAGGACGATATTCCCTGTCTGTTTTCTGTCAACCCCCCCAAATTTCTGGCACTGTTTTCTCTTTTAATCAGACTCCTCTGTGAATTTAAGGACTGAACACAATACAACATTTATAATGGCATAAGTTCCATCATGAGAATGCCTAAAAATTGTTAATTAAAGCAGTGAGTTTAGATAATAAGCATAGTAGAAAGCACATTTTTCCCAAATGAGTGTTTTTTTCTCCAGCTTTAGAACCGATTCCTCTTCTACAAACAAACAATTTAGTACTTTGGAAATTCACATTCCTGTCATGGACGAGAGACCCTGTGTGGCACCGTGGATCAAGGCCTTGTTAGGGACTGAGAAACTACTGAAAGCACTACTGGGTCAAAATGGTCTGGCAGTCACAGTTCAGTCTTCATGACAAGGCTGTCCATAACAAGAGGATTCATTTGCAGATCCTTATTGCTATGTACTTAATAGTGCATTGTAAAATCTTCCTTCTGAAAAACTAGCAACTGGTGTGCCAAAAATCCAAAGGAGTGGAAGACAAAGATTCTTTACCACAAAGATCTTTGGACCTTCCGTTTTTGGACATTGAGATGGTTTTCATTTGATGATTGTGCCTATTAGTTCAGGGAGAAAGATGATAAAAGGTGTTGACTGCAGTAGGAGTGGTAGTAGTGCTGTACTCGGCATTGGCAGAATGTACAAGGAGGACAGTGAGCTGACAATTGGAAAAAGTGGACCATCTGTGAAGCTCAGAGTCTTTTAATTAGATGCTGAAGACGCAAGTAGTTCTTTTTAATGTTTAGGAAAACACACAGATTTCTAAAATGCCTGTAAAAAGATAGGCAACCATCTAGACTAAGGGTATCTATTTATGATACTGCAGATACGAGGATGCAAGTATTATGTCTCAGAAGGTGGATAGTTTTCCTTTCTATTGGATTGGTACAGTCCCAGCAAAGGAAATAGAATTCCACCCCTGTGAGTGAGAGGTAAATTTGATTAATGAGCTCTATACGAACAAATTTAGATCTAGGATGCTGATGAGATCTAAGGATTTTCAAGATAAATATGAAAGTTATTATAATCTGTTTCTTATTCCACTGATGTAATTGATGAATAAAGTGTAGCTTTTTCACATTTCCTTTCATCTCCAGTGATCTTTGCAAATGTTACTTGTTCAGCTTTCAAAATCCTCATAGATATAGGTCCAAATGGAAGCATCAGAATTAGCAGGCTAGTCACACAACATGACTAAGTATCAATTAATAAAAGGGTCTTATATTTGCTAAAACAGAAGTGTTTTTTCTAAGGTTACAGCGGAATAATTGTCAGAATCTGAAATAGAACTGAGCTCTTCCTGGTTATTTATGTAATGACTTAAATGAACTCCTTCCGCTCTGTTCACATATAGGTGATTTTGCTTTATAGGATCCTGTATAATAATCTCAAATACCTTCAGACATCAGTATGAGGTATCAAAGACATTGGTGTTTTTAACAGGTTTACACAGTTGGTCTTAATTTCCATAAAGACAACTAACTTTTCTCACTACAGAGTTAGCACTTTCTTTTCATTATGGAAGCACAGCATTTAAAAACTGTTCTTTAACATTCAAAGAAAGTAATGTGTCCCCAGATGTGTTGTCTTTAAAAAATAAGCAACCTTTTGTATGATTTAAAGAAAGACATTTTTTTCCTAGTCTGTTTTAATAACCAAAATCAAGAGACTTCTGCTACAGGTTACTGATATATATATGTAACAAAATATCTGGAAGGAATAAGACATACACCTACCATTACAGAAGTATAAAATGACAAGTGCAGAATATGTTTACCTGACTTCAGGTGCTGGGATTCCTACCACAATGCAGTCCAATTGCACTTTGGTTCCTTCAGGAACTTCCCTGCTCTTCAGTTTTTGAGTAAAGCGTGGTGGTTGTCCCATAGGCTCATCAGAACTTACAGATGCAGATTCTGACTCTGTTTTTAGCTCTGCACTCGTTAATTGATTGATCGATTCCAGGTTTGCTGCCTGTTGATCATCTATATGTTCAAACGTTTTCTCTGCTTTGTTTTCCAAGTCTTGAGGTACTGGAATGCAAAGTCGTTCTCTGTTTTCTGATGTGCTAGGTAGGCTAGAGCTACCTTTTTGAGCAAGCTTATTCTTAGACTCTATCCTGCTCCTGTAGTTTTTGCATGTTCGGGGTCTTATTCTTTCAGAATTGTGAGCTTTGAAAAGTGATGAAAGCTCCTCAATAAAATCTGCTGCCTTGTTCAGAAATTCCTTTTTTGATTCCGATTCAGAAGGGAGGTGTTGTTTCTTTAGATCTTGAGAGCTCCCTTTGGAACTGTTTGTATTTCTGACATGGTCCTGACAAAAGTCTGAGTGCAGGCCATTGTCCGATGTTTTCAAAGCTGTAGACTGGGCCATTTGTTTGCGTTTTCCTGTGTTTTTCAGCTGATCTGGGAGATGCTGTGAATGTGCCTGAAGCTCCTCCTGTTTAGTTTCCAGTGGATTCTGATCAATGGCTTGTCTTGCCAGGTTTACACTTTGATCTAGTTCTTCTTGGCTCAAAAAGGCAGAGAGATCTGGAAGGTCATCTTGGGCAGCTACCTCATCTGAATCACCAGAAGCGTTGCCGTAATGGAAATTATGAGAAGATGGTTCTGATCTGCTTCTTTCACTCTTCCCTTGATGTTTAGTTTCAGCTAAATAACTTTCTCTCAGAAGTTGAGATATTGAAGTTGAGGATTCTGAACTGTCGTCTTGCATGCTGCCAACAAAAAGGACAAATAGGACCACACCTTATCAACAGCAAATTTTTTGATTGCACACTATTACAGGCTTCTGAAAAGCAGAACACATTGTTCCAAGTGCATCTGTGTGCTGAATCTTAACTTTTAAGTATGGCCTTGTTTTACAGGCCTTCTTCTGTATATACTGCTGGAGATTCTATTGCCTTCACCCAGGAAAATTCATCCTTTATCACTTCCTGCCATTGGTAGCCTTACATAGCTAAAGCAACTGCCAGCATGGTAATTCAGACTTTGTTCCAGGCAAAATTTCACCTACAGAGCTATTAACTGAGTTTTGATGTTAAATCTTTATCTTTGCTGGTGTGTGTTTCACAGCTAAGAGTCAACCTCATCAGATAAACACTGACTATTTCAAGGACCGAAAGTTGTGAAAGTGTAACATACTTTTAAACTAAGTAAATTTTGCTTCAAAGACACTGTAGGAGTAAGTAAATGAACCCTCAAAAGCATTGGAGGGATGAGAGGAGGAAGGAAAGGGGGAGAGAAGAACAAAAATGTTCTATAATGACAATTTTTAATTTCAAATTCTTAAAGATAGTGCACTACATGAAGCAATAAAGATGCTAAATGTTCTAAACCTTCTTAAATTAAGCTTATTTATAATGAGCTATTTAAAGTAAGTAGAGAATTATGTCATTGTTTGATATGACCATCATTTGTAATATAGGCCTTTCAAAATCATTCTTATGTCATCCTGATTCTGAAAAAAATGTACCACAGATGGGGAGACTGTATCAGAAAGCCCATACTTAACCTGCATGCCTGATAAGCAATGCTCAAGTATCCTTTTGAATACTGAAGTTCTTCTGCATAATATTCTCCCTTTTATTTACACAAGAGCCATTATGAGCGTAGAGTGAGTCAGACATCCTATTTACACACTCATCTTAAGGTGGCTTAAATGTGAAGACAAATAAGACAAATACGCTTTGCAACCTTTCACAAACAGAAACAAGTGTGTGACTGTTTGCAGGATGGCTCTCAGAATATGCAGTGCAGTGTCTCTCTCCCATTTCATTTATGGGCTGGCAAGTCTTGCTGTGATGGGTTCAAATATTCCTACCCCAAGGTGTCTGATTTGTTGCACTGAAGGTTCTGTTCCTGTCTGGGCATGGAGAGAAGGAACACGTGTGCCCTCACCTCAGCCATTTCCATTTGTAGCCTTATGCAACAGCTTCAGTTGCCAGAGAAAGAGAAGAAAAGTAAAAATGGCATCGCTGATTTGAAAAACTTTCTGCTCTGCTAGCAGGACAGTTGTCCCTGGAAAAGGGCTGGTAAAAAGTAAATGAGATGGTAGTATCTCATAGTGCTGCAGTATTCTTCTTGGAATACAAGTATTGACCCTTATTTACAAAAAGGAGAGCTTCAGTTTAAACTGTTTATACTCTTCTTCAATGAATGAACATAAAGCTGTGGTATCTTGATAAGCATTTTGAGACCTTAGTTGCTCCACTTGAGGCACAATTGGTTACACTGAAATTCTTTTTTTTTAATGTAAGGTTTTGGCATTTTACATTTATTGATTTTGTTTGGTAATATGAAACAAGCAAAATCAGTAAGCCAACAAAGGCACCCAATAAGAATATTTGTAAGTTTGGGCATGTTCAAAAATGGTAAATAAAATGCTGTATAAATTATATGCTTCTAAGCACCCAATCTAGTCCCTGCAACTGAGCCAGGTTCCACAATACTAATTGAACACTTGGTGTTGAATTATCTGGCAGTGTTTCAGTGAAGCTGTGGCACACAAGAGAACATTGATTTGGGAAGCCCATATGAGATAGTGTTGTAGTTGTTTTGTGACTGGAGAGAGTATGTAATTTAACCTCTTAAGAGAACAAAGAGGCCTCCGTGCAGCTTGAAGTTCCTGCTCTATGGATACTACTTTTGCTTGCTCAGCTTTTACTTCTCAAACAGCTGCACAACCTTACTGAGGCTGAACGTGTTTAAGGGGTTGTATTATCTTGTTTATGTGCTGATAGCATACTACGTGCTGTGAAGGTCACAGCTAAAGCTACAGTTTCAGCTCTGAAGAGTTGAAATGCATTCTAACATAAGGAGTTTACAGCTGGGAAGACAAACATCACATGTGAATGAATTGCAGACCTAGAATACGGCAGTAACGTAGGACAAGTTTCCTCTAGACCTCCACCCCATGTGCTGCTGTGTATCTATTTTAGAAATGAAGGGAGGAAGCAGAGCCATAGCCAGCTCTTCTCTCTGCAACAAGCAGCTGGCTTAGCCTGCAAAAAGAGCATTGTGTGCTTTTAGTGGGATGCCAGAGAAGGTACATAGAGTCTCTCAGAATATCTCTGGAGGGATGCAGCTCCACCCTAACCTCTCTACATGTGGCTACGGTTAAATTATAACGCTCAGCTGTATGCATCTGTGTGTAGCTTTAGATGCTCCCGTGGAAGGCTGTATCCTACCTACTCAGAGAAGCATGTATTTGACATGGTTGCAAAATTTAGCTTGTTACATTTCTTGGCCACTCTTTCTGAAGCATGTCAGAATGGCACATCTTCATTTCATCTTAGTGTCTGTAAAGGTCATCAGAGCTGGAAAAAGATGATGCAAATCTTCAGAGAACACTGGCCACTCTAAGGGGGAAATGCAAGTAGGGAGATGATACTGTGTGATCAAAACCTGCCCCAGTCAAATGAAGTTAAAGAACTCCTATGATTATTTTGTTGATAGAGGGTATATGAAAGTCATCTGATCTGACTATTCAGGGTTTCATTTTCCTCTGTTGTACAGATATTGCTTAGTTTTCTCATTTGGTGCTATGTCCATTTCAACAGAAGTTGTTAACTCACAGTGCAGCTTTTTCTGCAGATAACCATAGCAAAGGAACTGGTTTTCACTACGTTTTTTTTGAGATTTTGTTCTGGGCCTTGTTTGTCTTCTAATCACCTTTTGAACAAAGCAGTGAGTGAAACACGAAAGAATTTCTGTTAATGTGAGAAATAATTTCTGCTAATTCCCTTACGGACTACTACTGCAGTAGGAGAAGATGTTCTCAAAGAAGATGTGTTGAGATTGACAAAATAGCTTTATGATTCTAGTCTGCAAAAAAAAAGTCTAGTGAAGAAGCCATTGTCTGATTGCAAAAAGAACAAAATCACAGTGCAAATTACTGCAACGTAAGAAAACCAGGAGTGCCTATACCTGGTGAAAATATATAATAGAGGAAATTGAAATAGTTAAATCAAAACTTCCTTGTACTGATGGTTAATTTTGGCTAGCTGTAATGCAGATGTATAAAGCATCCTGCATTTGGATGCCCAGGCCAGACAGCACAGCCATTGATGGAAGAGCAAAACCCACCTGCCTGGCACAGTCCTGAGTGAACACAGAGGAAGGAAACAGACAAATAGCTGGTTCAATCCCATCTCTGCCCCTCTGAGGACAGCTGAGCAGATATGAATGGGAGAAAACAAACAGTTCCCCAGCAAAGGAGCTGGAATAATTTCCTCTCTTCTGCCCATCAGAGCAGAAGTAGAAGGGAGCAGAGTGCTCCTTCTGGTGCTGGGAAGCAAGTTATTGATAAGAGTGAATCTAATGCCAAATTCTTAATCCTTAGAGAGCCACCACTTTTCTTCAGAGCTCAACCAGGGTCAGAATATTCCATCTAACTCTTCCTTCTCTATTTTCATCTATTTTAGAAAAGAACTTTTAAATCTATTTTTAAAAAGGAAGAAGTTGAATACTAGTCAAATGTAACATTCTAAGCCAGTGCTTGGCTACTGTAGTTTTAATATATTTTGAATTATGTCATATTTCTAATTAAATGGGAAATGTTGAGGTTTACCAAATGTTGCTGTAAGGCTACTAGACAATCCAGTTACAATTATTAATTATGCTGTGCTTATGCCTTGAGAGATGCCCAGATACTTTTTTTTATTATTATTATAAAGAGTTAACTCTCCAATGGACACAGAGGGCTGATGATTGAGGGAAGCACTGTGTCAGCTGAGCCATTCAGATTTCACAGCCAGAGGACAACAGCTTTTGTTCAAATGAGACCAAGCATACAGCATGACAAAGTCTCTGGCCTAGATAGCAATAAGGCTGAATTAAATATATTTTGTAAAATAGCTATTAAACAGTATTTATAGTGAGTTAAAAGATATCACCTGATGAACAACTATGCTACTGCAGGTTTCATTAATGATAATTAATAATAATTTGGCTTTTTTATAGCAAAAATTGGAATCTAAGCTCCAAAATTAAGACCTGGTCTTGAATTGAGTCTTTCTCTTTGTCTGACTTTCTGGATTGTTTAGACTGAGATGTGGAATTTGCCTCAATATGCCTTGAGCCTTCCCTTTAATTTTTGCTGATAGGTACTTTGGAGCAGAAATATCTTCGTGGCTGCACAGCAAACACCTCATGGTCCTTCAGTGTGTGGCAGCACTGAGCCATATCATGCAGCAGCAAAAATGTATACAGTAATTATAGATAGCTGTGTTGAGCAGAGAAGTGCAGATAACTCTGTTGAGTAAGCAGTAAGGACAAACTCTAGTGAAAACACAGTAGAGCGCAATCTTTGGTGTCAATGAAAGCACCAAGAATTTTGCAGACTGGAAAAATGTCTCATAATGAACAAGTACCAATGGGAGGAATTGCAATGCTAGTTACAGATAATAGTTCTAGACTGGTGTTATTTAGGATTGAAGGCAACATTTTTTGCTTTCCTGGGACACTAGCAGCAGTGACTTTGGGCTCCTGTTATTTTAAGAGGCATCAGAGGATGTCACAAAGAAAACTGAATGCATGAACCTTCTCAGTCTACTAATTCAGTTTCCACTAGCCAACTAATTGCACAAGCTTTCTGAACTTCCAAGAGCCTGTATTTATAGTAATATTCGCTTATTAGCCAAGCAATCCTTAGGGTAAAATATTCACAAAGGTAGAATTAGTTTCCACAGTTTGTTTTGGCAGTGACTTGTCCTG